GAAATAAGGATAGTACAGAGGGTTGCTAAGGATCTCATGTGGAACTTTATTCTGTGCTTGTCTCAAAAAGCGTGGACGTATGTGGAAAATTGCTTCTAACACTTTGTTAAAATACCTACTCACAGTCTCGCCAGATCTAATAAAATGTGACCTAATACTTCGATTTTTAGTTTATGCCCCAAAATATTCAAAGTTATAGCAAGTTGCTCCTCCACTGTAACATGTCTTGAGTCTCACAATAAGTCATTCCTCCTCATGATCTCTGCAAGCTTCATAAAAGCACCATTGCACATTCTAACATAGTTGACATAGCTATCACTAAATCCATTATATATCTGATCCATGTGTTGTTTTCTATTTTAATATTGCTTTATTTTCTCTTCACTAGGACCTACACGTATAGATTTACGTCTACTTTGCATTCTCCTTATGAATGTTATAACCATAACTAAAATAGATAGTGCAGCACCCAAACACATATTAACTACTATCTCTTCGTCGAGATCACCATCCATCTAAAATACAAGCGTCATATTAAAGCAGATACCAACATTAAAGGAAAATGATTAAAGTCTTTTAGGAAAATTATCATAAACATTTATGTAATGATTGATTAATTATTTTGTTCGGTTCATATTTGTAGTATGATAAGACGGTGTTATTAGACTTGAGATTCAAAATATCTTTGAAAAGTAATGCAGACGAAGTCGTGTCACATTGTTCAATATCATGAATTCAAACATGTTCTATGACCTACAATCAAACATACACAACAAACCCAAACCCTAAGATACACATCCGTTCTATGAGGAATTTAATCAAAAAATGAGCATGTTAATCATTCTTTAAGTATTCAGACATACACAACAAACCCAAACCCCAATATACAAATCAGTTCCTATTTGATGTCTCTTCATCAATGTCATAATCATGACTAAAATTGTAATAGCAAAAATTAGAAACTCAAACATCACAAACAAGAGACATAAAACATCATACAAACATCAAACTATAGTAACTAACCAATCTGGTCCACTGATCATTAATCAGTACTTTCTTCGCATTACCGAATGTTCTTATTGATCATTCCCATTAGCGCTTTTCAACTAAATGCCGTAAATGCTAATTTTCACACTGATAACATCTTGCATTAAGACTAATTAAAATAGTAAATCATCGCAAAGGAAAATATTCATTGTATCATCTCACTACAATGGAAAACCCAAATCATACTTTATAATTCATAGAATTAAATGAGAAACTAATTAAATCAGTTTTGTATCAATCTAATCACATTCAGATTCATCTAAAATAAAGAAAACCCTAACTCAATCAAACCAAATTGCATCAAAGTTGCGACTTCGATCAGATTGCAAGCATGCAGGCTCAAGAACAACGAAAATAAAAAAGCTAGAAGAGAATGGAGATGAGAGATCGAACCTAAGGAAGGAGACGGAGAAGGAGGATGCTGGAGATCAGCGAGTTCCTCTTTGGCTCGTGAGAAGGAGAAGGAGGTGGGAGAAGGAAGAATAGGAAGCAGGAGGAGGAGAACGAGATAGAGAGTGGTGACGAGATCTTAGGGGTAGGAAGCCAGAAAATTAGGGTTTCCCCTCTTTTCTGCTCGAGTGTGTACGGAGCTCAGTTTTGAGGGTTTTCCTCCGAAATCAGGCTTACGGGGGCGGAAAACTTCCTAGCTCCAAATCCTAGCTAGCACCCATTTTCTCTCCCCCACTTTCTTTTATAGCTTTGACGAACCAAACAACTGAAAGTGGAGGAAAACATCAAATTTTTACTGTGTCAGTTTTCTTTAGGTCACTTTTTGCACTATTTGAACCAACCAAACATGCCCGTGGAAAGGGTTAAAAAGTGGGGGCCGTGCTCAGTTTTGTCAGATTTTTTATCTTTTACATTGGATATAGGTTTACAAGCAAGTTAAAATGCTGATGTGTCCTTCAAAAAGCTTAGTTGTCACCGAAAGCCAAAATCTCTCCAAAATGAAGTGATTTGGATCGACAGCAAGACTCGCGGTAGATATGGTTGGCCTGGGCAATCGAGGACAAGAACTTGTTTTTAACTCTTTGGCTTAAGTTGCATTTGACTGATGTTGGGTTCTTTGGTGTTACTGGAGTTGAATAGGGGTTGATAGATTTTTCTTTGCTTGTGCTTGGGATAGGCTTTCTCTTCCTCCACTAATTATGTTTTAATTGTCATGTTTGTTTTGCCTACTAAGTGTTTGTTGATATATCTAAGTTTCAACTGCCTAGTAGAAGTTGCAAATGTTAATTGGTGTACCAATTGCTTTGCTTCTAACTTTTTGATATAGATATTTTATGTGCCGTGGTTACATTGTCAAAGCTTGTGATTCCATTTTGTGTTTAGCCTTGAGCCCATGAAGATTTTTATCCAATCATAATTTATGCCTTATCTAAGGAAGCAATCTCAGATATGAGCTTAGACGAGTTGCTATTTCATGAACAATTGCATACTTCAAATTTTACGCATATTTATTATTTTTTGGCTTGATATATAAAGATTGTGCTATTAATCTCTTATTTTAGTTATTAATTATTGGAGTTGTTCGTGTTTTATGGAGGTAATCTTACCGTTGCAAGATGAACATTTTGAATGAGGTCCACATAACTATCACATTTCAAATTACATGATGCAATCCAAACAATGTAATACTATCATTTTAGGATTCATAATGAAATCCAAAACAAACAATGTAAAAGCCAAAATAAAATGTGATCATGTGGACAATCACTTTCCATTTGGCATCATAAATACTCAACTTTACTCCAAACATCCAAACAGCCCCTTCATTTGTTAGAACTATGTTTCTTTATCTTTATGTATATGAAACTGTTACCTGATGCTTCAGGCAGTTTCTTCGAGCTATGAAGTTTATATTTGCTGTCCTCTGACTTTTAATGCCAAGTTTCTGGCTTTGGTATGAGCTGAAATCAATTTGCATACGTAAATGGTGTTTGTTCAAATGGCTAATGTACCATGCGTACGAAAGTGGTCAAATTTTGTGTATGTCTTATATCCAACTGAAACTATTACTGGTTGATGTAATTATTATTTCTCAAATCAGTAAGCATTCATATTTTTCTTCAAACAAGACACCAAATCTAATGATGCCTGCATAAAAGGCGAATAATTAGTTAGGCCATCCCATTCTTTCAGAAATAATGATAAGGACACACCCTCTACCACACTCCTAACCATACCACATCTCTTGCTACATTGCATGGGGCCCATATATGTTTAAAATCTCATGTGGGCCCCGTGCACTGTAGTAAGAGAGGTGATGTGGTTAGGAGTGTGGTAGAGGGTGTGCCCCTAGTGCCTCTCTTCTTTCAGATGGTTATCATGTGGTTCGATTCAGATTTGCGCACTGAAAAATTCGATTTCACTATTTTGCAACTGGCAATGTGCTTGAATGATAGGTTCACTCTTTCGCAACTGGCAATGCGTTTGAATGATTTTTTTTTCTAATTGCCCTGGGGATATCAAATTAAAGTCCTCTTCAGCTATGCCAAGAATCACTGTTTATACTACAGTAATATATAATAAATTACTGCAGTATAAACAGTAAAGCAAATTTTCCCCTTACACTCGGAGTATTGTTCATTATCATAAACAATGAATCAAATCTGCTCCTCTAGTTGAAGTTATTATTCATGCTTCAATTTTACTGTATCATAAACAGTAAAGCAATCAAACGTATTAAAACTTGGATCCTCTTTTAAATATAGAAGAGTAGATATGATTTCGAAATCAAATGTATTAAAACATAGATCTTTCTTTAAGTATAGAGGAATAGATATAATTTTTAATTTTAAGCATACGATAATCAAATCAAATATATTAAAACATAGATGGAGGCAAGTTTAAAATGCAGTGCTTTATATGGGGTATACACTAGTAGTCATTAATAATGAAACGAACAGGCGCCTAACAAATAAGGGTGAAAATTTAGAACAGTCAATACCGCAAAATATATAAACAGAGTCTGAGAGATTTCTTAAAACTGGATCATGATACAGCATCAATCATCTACCAAGAGAAAACCACCCATCATAAAATTGACATTTTTCAGCCAAAAGTCATGAATAATTTTTCTGTCTCCAATGTTTACAATCAATTTTGCAAACCGTTAATAAAGAAGACAAATGGCGCTAGTGAGAAGGGAAAGGGGGAAAAAGATACTCTTGACATTAAGAGTTCTACCGCATCTAAAAAGGAAAACCAAGGAACGGCAGAAGCAAGTTAATCCATTACCAAGTGATAAAATTTATGTAGAACATATCTATACACTCTTAAGAACTCTCGATATGAGAGGTCTCACAAAAAGGAAAACATCAAAATATAAAGGACCTGAACAAAACTATGTCAGATCAGCTAATCTACAAACTCTATTGCATTGAATGCCAATCTCAAATATAATGCCAACAAGAGCTTCCTCCACGCTGCT